AATTCACATTTAGGGCTGTACGATATATCGCATGAGATTGTTATGCGCATCTCTTCAGTAAAGCCGGTTCCTTGGTTAGTATTAAATCACCTTCACCTGCTTTCAGATGGAAGATATGATGCACATATGAGTGTTAAATTAACATTCAGTAGTGTTAAAGTTAATGAGATTATTAAGTGATTAATTGAGTGATGATTGAACATTATTGAAGACACCTGATGATAACAAGCAGAATCACTGAAGGAGAAAATCTAATATTGTAAGCCACCGTTATGGTGATCAGTGTTTGCTTTAGTTGGACTCTTGACCCCTATACTTTCACTTTAAATTTTGTTTGTCTGCTGTTGTTGATTTATAACAGTCAAATGAGCAAAGAAAAGTGTGATCTAATAGTGTTGGTAATGTTTTGCCATAATCATGTTGTGATCTGATAAATAAAACTGAATAAGATGATTTGGTTTAACTTGTTAGCAACAGCGTTGTGATTCTACAGTATATGATTATCAGTATTTTTCTTAGTCAAAAATATTTAATAAACATTGTTCTGATAAAAACACTTTCAAACGAATTTATTTAGAAACACAGACACCAATAATCAGCCTGTGAATCACAACAATGGTGACAATAATAATCCACGTTGCAGTGGCTGCCACCAATCACAACTCATTAATTGTTCCCATCATGCATTGCAGTATGAATAAATTATGATCTGAATTGTCTATGTAATTTACTTTTTCTAATTTAATATTCTGCTCACCGTTGTTGAGATGCTTTGACTGAATCTTGACGTCTGCTTAAAAGAAAGTTTTTTTAAACAACTTTTAAGAAATCTTTAAGAAACTTTATATTATATCCAAAATTCTGGATATTTATGCAGAATTACAGTTATGCTGTAACCAACAGCATAAATCACAAACATAAAATTCAAATGATGATGATTGTCATAATATAACCAATCCCATTACATAACTTTTTTTTTCTTTGTTCATCTGGCAGTTATAACTGAAATACAACAGCCAAACAAAATCTAAAGTTAATAAATTAAGGGTCAAGAGCCCAACTAAAGCAAACAATGATCACCATAACTGTGGCTTACAATTTTAGATTTTCTCCTTCAGTGATTCTGCTTTAGGTGTCTTCAATAATGCTCAATCATCACTCAATTAATCACTTAATTATCTCATTAACTAACACTCTTGAGTGTAGACTCATATACAGTCCCAGGAGTGTTGATTTAACACTGGAGTTTTTGTTGAAGAGCCGTAGTTAACTGACAAGCTGAGCCATATCGCATTAATTATCGCTGGCGATTCATCCGCTATATTAATGCGATATGGCTCAGCTTGTCAGTGAACTACGGCTCTTTGTAGTAAATGCCGCTCCATCTGAAAGCAGGTGAAGGCGATTTACTACTAATCAAGGAACCGGCTTTACTGACGAGATACGCATAACAATGTGATGCGATATATCGCCCAGCCCTATTCACACATAAACATTCATCAACGCACATATCAATCTAAACAGAAGCTCAAACATGCTTGCTAAATGTGTTATAACCAATGAGGGTTATTCTTGTTACGCAGCACATTTGAGCTTCGGCAAGAACCAGTGAGGCAGTGATGTTAGCTAACATTTTATATAATGTTATATTAAAATGTCAATGAAACACTAACAAACAGATCCTACGCTGAAATGGCAGTTTATTAATAAGTCAACAAGAATTTATAAAAAAATTAGATTAAGATTAACCTTAATTGCTGAGTTCGAATTGCATGCACCTCCACCTGTTTAAAAATAATATAATATTCTTTGTGGGGTTCGTTAATGGTGATAAATAATGCTAGCAACTGCTTTCTCTGCAAAAGCTTTGAGTTTAAGAGCTAATAAAATATTTCGACTCAATCAATATTTCGTGTCTTTTTATTTACTTATGTGGCAAATAACCATGTAATCAGCGATATAATGTATGCGGTTATTAACGCAGAACAAACCCCTTCAGAGTGATGCATGATCCTGATCTCCCTATTGGGGTTAATTCTGCATAACAAACGGGTGGATGTTCATTATCCCTTACTTAGTAAATGCGGTACAAGTGTAGTTCATTTCAGAAGTGTTAAATTATTAATGTTCAACTAAGATCATGTTAACTAATGTAAGCTGTAAAAAAGGCAATTGACTGTCAGCTACGACTGCAAAAATAAAGATCATGAAAACTCACACTGACATCAATAATCAGTGTATGAATTGCAACAATGATGACAAGCAACAAAATATACAGATCGACTCTGAACTCGTCACAAAACAAGCTACTAAAGTCACAGAAAAGCTTTTTTGATTGTCACCATTGTTGAGATTCATGTTTATTTGTGATGTCTCTGTGCACATAAAAAACAGCTCAAAAAAGTTTCTGTGTAATGACTTGAAAAAAATCAGAATACCAGATATACCAGATATAAGGGAAGATGAATGAAAGTCTTACTGGGTTGGAACAACATGTAGGGTGAGTAATTGCTGACAGAATTTTCATTTTGGGGTGAACTATCCCTTTAACTTTTTACGACAGATGTTGCAATTTCAATGTGTTAATCATCTCAGCTTAAGTGTAAAAATATTTTTAGCAAATGAAAATGTGAAGGAAAAAAATGAAAAATAGAGCAGTGCTGCGGTAAAGACATCTTGTATCGGTAAGGAAACTATGTTAAACTGCCCCGAAATCAAAAACAGGCTACTGTAGAGAACAACAGAACAACATTTTAATTAACTCTTACTCTTTTAATTGCTTCAATAATATCGTCTCCTAAAGTTGATGTTGCATGAACATTAATAATATTCTAAACCAACACAAACCCATAACACTAACACCATCTCACCATAACATTACAAATTTTGTACCATACCCAATTATTTCTCATTTCAGACTGAGAAGTAATCTCATTGAAACATTTAGGCTTTTGGTACATGCACAGGTAACTAATTAAAATGAGATCAGAGTTCCTTCCAAACTAAGTCGGTAAGCTTCATGTGTCTTGTGTCCTGGCTGTGGTTCTGGCACAAGCCCAACAACATTCTCATGAGTGCACAATATCACATCATCCTTCATTGGCCAAAAAAGCCCTTTGGCCCCAACCCTGTGCATTGTTTGACCAAAGCACAACTTTGAGTATTAACATCTTGGATGATCCCTGGACATGGGTCATTGTCATACACAACATCACACCATTTACCAATCAGCCCCTCGTTGAATTCAGAAATGGTTTTTATCGCATTAACTTCCTGGAATGACAGATGATGCTGATGGATGACTCCTATGGAAGGCTCAGATGTACAGGCAAAGGTGACGCACTGTGGGCTGAAGCAGGTGCATCGATCTGGGTTTCTGCAGAAGCAGATCAGCAATCTCCACATGATTTGCCCAGAGACTGATGTGTGGATCTGAAAAATATAGTATTTTGGCTACTTGTTAGAATATTCTGCACAATTCTCAAACATCTTAGCCACAGGACTATCGATAATTCTAATGTCTACTGAAAGTATATTATTGACCATGTGAAGTATTTTTTGCTTGGGTTATTCTCCTTCAGATGGTGCAGAACAGGTCAGAGATGTGCCCATATGGCCGAAGGGTCATGGCGGAAAGAGGATGACTGAGTGCAATATGAAGACTGCTCCTTTGGTGTAGGCCACAACTGTGTGTAGGCTCACCTGTTGATGAGAATCCCCAAAGTGTACAGCCTGTATTTCACTTGTAGTCTCCAGAGGTAGTTTTCTGCAAAATCTACTTGCAGTACCATCTCATGTTCGGTCCGATTCTCCTCAGCTCTCTAAAGGTAGAGATATACTGGTGCTTGATGTTGTATATGTGCTGTCCTTTTTTCACCTGCAGCAATTCGGAGAAGTCATCATTGAGGCTTTTAATGGTTCCATAAACCTTGTCCTTTGTTGTAAAATGGACAATAAATTTCTCTCCTGCCATCTTTTGTTTTTTACTCTCTCTCCTCCACTTTGTTTAGCCACTGATACCACCACGTCTGACTCTCTTCTTCAAATGGCAGATTTTGCAATGCTTTATTCTTGTGTATGGAGCATTCCCTGTACATGCACTCTTTTGATGGACATGTGGACAGCATCTAGTCTTTAACCTTGCTAGTCGTGTGGAAAAAGTGCAAAAAAGTTTGACGTGTCATCATTATATATATTATTTAAGGTTATTTTATATTTGTTCAAATATATTGATATAAGAACTGTTGTTGTCAAGTAAGATTTGTGTGTGTGTCTGTGTGTGTTCTAGTGTGGATCACGGTTCAGAAGTTAAAGAGTTCATGATGACATCAAGACTACACAGATGTAAGTCCTCAAACACAGTTTTAGTGTGTGTTGTTGTAAATGTTGCTGTTGTAATGTGTGTTCTTGTGTTCAGACGCTGTTGATCTCACACTGGATCCAAACACAGCACACACTCGTCTCGTTCTGTCTGAGGAGAACAGAAAGGTGACGTGTGTGAGAGAGAGTCAGTCATATCCTGATCATCCAGACAGATTTGAGTATGATCATCAGGTTCTGTGTAGAGAGAGTCTGACTGGACGCTGTTACTGGGAGGCTGAATGGAGTGAAGATGAGACTGAAATATCAGTGGCTTATAAAGGAATCCAAAGGAAAGGATGGAGTGATGACTGTGAGTTTGACTGTCTGTTTGGACGTAATGAGAAGTCCTGGAGTCTGATCTGCTCTGGTCACAGTCTCACTGTCTATCACAATAGTATCTCCACTGCTGTTTCTGCTGATTCAGGATCCTATAAGAGGGTAGGAGTGTTTGTAGACGAGTCTGCCGGCACTCTGTCCTTCTACAGCGTCTCTGACACACACACACTCACACACTTACACACATTCACACACACATTCACTGAACCACTCTGTGCTGGATTTAGACTTTATCATATTAACTCTTCAGTGTCTTTGTGTCAGATTCAAAGAAAATGTGAAACCATTTAACAAAAGTGTCCGTTGTTGATATTCATCCACTTTATTTGTGCACAATGTGTTATTAAAATCCTTCAGATGATCTGATTAAAACTGCTGGATCTCAGAGGATTATTATAATCAATAATGTGAAATGAATAACACTTCATCTATATAATCATAGAGATAACTGTAAATGAATATGAATCTTCTGTCAGCTCTAGTATTTCTCTGTTAATTCACATGTTGTATTACAGTTTAATGATGTTATTGTAGTTCCCTATCGAGGGAACTCGCGATGCATCAATCGCTTTGGGAACGCCCCCGGCATGAATTCCGTCTGAAGCATCTATGTCAACTAATCCAATGGAAAGAATGAACGTCACGGTGGGTGATGTCATCACCAGGAAGGGATAAAAGCACATCCGGTGCAACCCGGCATTAGCTTCTGTTGCCTCAGCAAGCGATCTGTGTTATACTGTCTCTGTCTATTTATTGTTGTCTGTTGCAAGATTGTTGGAAAGAGTTATGGCGAAACAAATGAACAAAGCGTGTGCTTCTCCCTGTCCGCCTTATTTAACGGGCGGGGACACACACGATCTTTGTGTCATTTGTTTGGGAATGGAGTATGCGGTCTCAGCCTTCGAGGGGCCTTCATGCAGCCTTCATGCTCCGCTCTCGCCTGTCCCTCGTTGACGAGAGCGGGCAGGCTCGCGATCCTCAGGGTGCAGGACCTGTGCTTGCCGAGGCAACGTGGAGAATGCATTCCTGGGGATCACAAAAGGATCTTTCGGAGGGGTTGGAGTTGGGTCCGAGGGCCTTTTCTCCTTCCTTACCTGGAGGATCCAAAAATTTAAAATGCGTAGATATAGCATTAGCCCTCAGGCTTCAGGGCATAAGTATTCTGAACTACATTGATGACTGGCTAATTCTAGTGGAATCAGAACAGTTGGCGGTTCGGCACCGAGGTGTCGTTCTCGCTCATATGCAGATGTTGGGGTTGAGGCTCAATACCAAGAAGAGTGTTCTTTCTCCAGTACAGAGAACCACTTTCCTTTGTGTGGTATGGGATTCCGTTACGATGCGGGCCACTCTATGGCCTGTTCGTGTAGCTGCTATCCTTACAGCCATAAAAGAGCTGAAGCTAGGCCAGTCACGCACTGTGAAACAGTTAGAGAGACTGTTGGGTCTTTTGGCAGCAGCGTCCAATGAGATACCTTTTGGCCTGTTGTACATGAGACCTGTACAGTGGTGGCTCAGGACCAGAGGGTTCTCCCCGAGGGGAAACCCACTTCGTATAATCAAGATCACGCGACGGTGTCTCCACGCCTTGGTTATATGGAGGAAACACTGGTTCTTAACCCAGGGTCCGGTGTTGGGAGCTCTGTACCATCGAGTTACTATCTCAACAGATGCCTCCCTCACCGGCTGGGGAGCGGTAATGGAAGGCCACTCGGTTCAGGGTCTGTGGAGGAGTCATCAACTCTCCTGCCACATAAATTGCCTGTAGATGATGGCTGTCTTCAATGCGTTGAAGCAATTCCTCCCAGACCTGAGGGGCCATCATGTGCTGGTCCGTACAGACAACACGTCGGTGGTCTCTTATCTGAACCGCCAGGGGGGTCTGCGCTCGTGTCCGCTTTGCAAATTGGCGCACCAGATCCTCCTATGGTCTCTGGGGAAGGTTCTCTCCCTGAGCAACATGACATCATGACTTTTGCGTAAACATACACGCCACTTTCGAGTCAAGTGGCGTGTTATCTCTACGCATTTTGAGCTATCCGCATGTATCCGCATGTATGCGTGTATGCCTACGCCATTAACGTCCGAGTGATTCCGCGTGTCTGTACACGCCGTCAAATGTCCAGTCATAAATACCATTAACCCCAGTGATGATTAAGTTTAGGGACGGGGTTGAGGTAAGTCATATCTTTTTTTTTTCCTAGGATGGAAAGGAAACAGCCATAAACGCCATTAACCCCAGTGACAGTTAAGTTTAGGGACGGGGTTGAGGTAAGTCATATATTTATATATACATTAATAACGTTAAGTCAACGGCGTTCATAAACACGCTGAAAAGCGATTATGCGTCTTGATAGCATGCTAAAAATGGAAATACGAATTGGCGTGTCATACACACGCTACTTGCATGACATCATGTCGAGGCAGGAGCTGAGGCCAGGGGACTGGAGACTTCACCCCGAGGCAGTGGAGAAAATTTGTAAGTTTAATGGCCAGGCAGAGGTGGATCTATTTGCGTCTCAGCATATGACGCACTGTCCACTATGGTTCTCACTGACTCACCCAGCCCCCTTGGGACTGGATGCTATGGTGCAGACGTGGCCGAGGCTACGTCTGTACGCATTTCCCCCTGTTGCTCTGCTTCCAGTAGTTCTGGAGCGAGTCCGCCGGTACGGAATAACCCTACTGCTAGTAACACCACGCTGACAGAGTCGGATTTGGTTTACGGACCTGATTCATCTCTTAGACGGTCCTCCCCTGGAGATCCCGATCAGGAGAGACCTTCTGTCTCAGGCGAGGGGTACGATATTCCACCCCCGACCAGAGATTTGGAACCTGTGGGTTTGGCCCCTGAGGGGGCCCAGCTCATAGAGAGTGGTCTCTCAACTGAGGTTGTGGAGACCATTCTAAGCTCCAGAGCTCCAGCTACAAGAAAATTATATGCGCTCAAATGGAGTTTTTTTCCGTATGGTGTCACCAACATCAGTGGGATCCGGTTAACTGTTCTATCAACACAGTACTCGAGTTTCTGCAGGAGCGCTTTGTCAGGTCTTTGTCCTTCCACACTCAAAGTCTACGTGGCGGCCATTGCGGCTTACCACGCCCTTGTGGGGGGCACATCATTGGGTCGAGACCCCCTGATTACACGTTTTCTTCGTGGCACACTGAGGTTCAGGCCTGCAACTCGCACTAGGGTGCCAGCTTGGGATCTTGCTGTAGTACTAGAAGGCCAGTCTAGGGCTCCATTCGAGCCCTTAGATTCGGTTTCAGAGAAGTTTCTTACATTTTAAGACAATCTTTCTGCTAGCTATTTCATCCCTAAAGAGAGTTGGAGATCTTCAGGCTCTTTCGGTTTCCCCCACTTGCCTTGAGTTTGCACCGGGGATGGTCAAGGCATTTTTGTATCCAAAACAAGAGTACGTCCCTAAGGACGACCTTGATTCCGAGGCCTATTGTGCTGCAGGCTTTCTGTACTCCTCCTTTTACATCTGCGGACCTGGAAAGGCTGAACCTCTTGTGTCCGGTGCGAGCACTGGACACTTATGTTCATCGGACATCGTCATGGAGGAAGTCCGACCAGTTATTTGTTTGCTTTGGATCTCCTAAGAAAGGTCTTCCTGCTGCTAAACAGATGGTTAGTAAGTGGATAGTTGAGGCTATTGGACTTGCATACAAGTACTCTGACCAACCGTGTCCTTTGGCGGTCAGGGCTCACTCTACCAGGTGTATGGCGGTATCTAAGGCCTTATTATTTGGGATTTCTCTCCAAGACGTTTGTGATGCGGCGGGATGGTCCTCGCCGCTCACATTCGTTAGGTTTTACAGCCTAGACCTGGATGCTGCCCCAGGTTCTCAGGTGCTTAGTGCTTAAGTTACAACAGACTGTAACACTACTGGTACTTGTAATTCTGGCATTTTGGGTATTCTCGTTCCCAAAGCGATTGATGCATCGTGAGTTCCCTCGATAGGGAACGTCTCAGGTTACGACTCTAACCATAGTTCCCTGAGAAAGGGAACGAGACGATGCGTCACCCTGCCATACTTCCTGCATCCCTGTGATCGGCTTGCTTCACCAATATTTCGAAGCTAATGCTGGGTTGCACCGGATGTGCTTTTATCCCTTCCTGGTCATGACGTCACCCACTGTGACGTTCATTCTTTCCATTGGACTAGTTGAGCTTTTTTTCACTCATCCTCTCACTGCAGCAGCCTACTCTCAACTACATTTCAGGGGAGGCAAGGCGCATCTCAACCAAGCCTAATGAAACAGCCCAGATGATGATGGTGACCATTAACAAGTAATCACTGTCACCTGATCCTGTTTTCATTTAGCTTTTTCTTTTTTTTTTTTGGCAAAAGCAATACATTTTAGAGTCACAGCTACAAAGAAAAAATAATGGTCAAAAGTCAGTGGTCAAGAGCCCAACTAAAGCAAACGCTAATCACCATCATGGTAAATGAAAATAAAATGACATTTAAACCTCTGCCACCTTTTAATAAGAACTTCTGTAAAAGTCTGATAGAAATAAAGTCAGTCTGGATAGTAATAAGTGAAGCTAATAAGTAATGCCGTTTGTGGAGTTGTTTAATCCTTCTTGTAAACAGCAGGTGTTCATCATTGTCTGAATTAACTTTGGAAATTAACTGAAAGTAATTGAAATGATTCACTCAGTCAAGTGGACTATATTGGTGAACTAATGTAGGGAATAGTGACTGAGGGTATAGGGTGTGATTTGTAACACAACCTCTGAGTGTTGACTTTGAGTGCTGTTAATTCACAGTATATACTTTCTCAAAAACGATAAATATCACCCAGAATGTTTTTATACGGTATATTGCTGTTTTAATGGAAAATAGCATGTTACTGTCAAAATCTGGCTTTTTTCAGCAATTTTTACAGTGTTTATTTATTTTATTTATTTTTTATTTTTTTATTAAACGAATTTGAGAAAACGTTACTGACTGTCCAACTGTCCAACCTTATGGGATGTCACATCCCAATGTCTCCTTCCCTCTTGACATATCCATAATTAATCTAAACAATACAAATTGTCAATTACTTCTGTCTCTAACTATCGCCAAGAAAACTATCCTCATGAACTGGAGATAATAAACTATAACCAAAACCTTTGAACAGCCAACCATCCCGTCAACTTTTTTTCCCTGGTTCCCTGAAGCTCTTTCCTACTGCATGTTCTTTTCATGTCAATTGTACATTTTGAACTGCCATTAGGTAAATGTGCAAATCATTTATTTTTTTTTAAGCTTTGGTTTGCACCTAATTGTGTTGTCTAAATAGTTATTCCAGCACCACCAGAAATATTCAACATGTATGCTAGTGTGCTCTCGCGCACATGCTATGAGTGATGTCATCTCATCTGTTGAGGAGGAGTCGGTCTGAGGCTGAACAGCAGCAGAGCTGCAGCAGAGAGAGAGAGAGACCGCATGGGCTAGACAGAAGAGAGTAGCTGGATCCCTCCACATCACTGTTGACGCTCCTTCACTGTTCCTGCGTCAGTGTCTGTCAGCTGAAGATGGATGAGGAGAGCTACGGTAGGACATGCGCTTGAATATCTGCTTCATCATGTCCTAAAGTGATGTGCTGTGATTTACATCATGGAGGAAATACTGTAGTCTACATGTTGCGTGTTTCTTGAAACGCAGTCCTGTGATGTTGAAACACATGCATTGTTTGTGTGGTAAACACCGACATCTTGGGAGGATTCGGATGTTATGAGTTTTGGGCATGTCTCAAACAGGTCCTTTAGACTAACAGCATGCGCGCAGCTGTCAGATCATTCTGTATCAGTTTGCGTTCCTTACCATAAAAGTGTGAAGCGTAATATTCAATGTGAACAGCAGGGTGTTGAGCGACATGCCTTAGTTTTACATTCAAATGGTTCACCCAAAAATGAGGAATATCCCATAATGTAGGCTACTCACCCTCAGGTCATGTGTATGTGATATTCTTCTTTCAGCCAATCATTCACATTCAGAGTTATATTAAAAAAAAACAGCCTGGCTCTTCTCAGCTTTATAATGGGAGTGAAAAGAGATTTTAAAGCCCAAAAATAGCGCATTCATCCATCATAAAAGTAATCCATACAACTTCAGTGGGATTAATAAACATGAATTAATAAAACATATCCATATTTATGATTTTATAAACTAAAATCACTGGCTTCCGAAGTTCCAGCCAAAGAGTGAACCCAGCTTGATGATATATTGAGGAGCGTGGAAGCGCAGAGAATACACAAAAACCCGTTCACGAATTAGATATGAGAATTATTAAAGCGAAATGTGGGAGGAGTTTGAGTTTGCAGGCCTATATATTTAGTGAGGCGTGTACTCTCACCTAGCTTATGCTACTCCCTACATCCTACGTCGTGCGTCAAAACTCAACTCTTTCGTGATGCGCGGAAGAACGTTACCGGAAGCTTGTGATTGCAGTTCATAAAGTTATAAATATTGATATTGTTTTTACATAAACGCATAACTTCACTTCACAAGGCGTTTATTATAACAAATTACGTGTGAGAGTTATTTACATTTTCATGTAGCTGACGCTTTTATCCTAAGCGATTTACAATTGCTATATATGTCAGAGGTCGCATGCCTCTGGAGCAACTAGGGGTTAAGTGTCTTGCTCAGGGACACAACAGTGTCTCACAGTGGATTCAAACCCGGGTCTCTCACACCAAAGGCATGTGTCTTATCCATGCAACATCATCACCCCCGTTTAGCATTTTAGCATTCCAATGCTCACATTGCCCTATTTTGGATGGAAAAATGACAAAAAATATTCCTCTCTAAATATATGTTTGAAGTAAATAACACGTTTTTATCCGAATGAGCGTGGGTGAGGTGGGAGGGGGAGGTGGGTGAACCGGTTAGTGGTTTTGACCCCTTTTGCACTTACATTTGTTTGGCAAGTCCTGCAGACCGGGCTGTCAAATGGCAGCGTTAAGATGCAATCCCGCCACCTATTGTGCTTTAGGATGTCAACCAGGTGCTTTCGTTGGATTATTCA